AGGAAGCCAGTTAGAGCCCACCAAGATGTTTAACCTATTATAGGACATGTCAATCGTCTTTAAGCTTACGAGACTTTCAAAGTGCTTCTCCGTGATTACACCATTAAAGGAATTGTTGCTAAGATCCAAATAAGTCAAATTACTAATGCTCCAATTTCAGACGGTACATGCCCACTGAGATTGTTGCTTGAGAGGTCCAAACTTCCCAAACTGATCAGATTCCCTATCCAATTTGGCAAGTTTCCTGTCATATGGTTACCACTCAAGCCCAGATACTGTAAATTATTCCAAGCACACTGCGGTAGCTTCTCCATCACCACATGTATGTCCTCATGCAAGGAATTGCCACTAAGGTCTAGCACTTGTAAGTTGCATAAACTTGCCATGTTTGGCGCAGTCAACTCCTTATTCAAGTTGTATGAAAAATCTAGTACCTCTAAGGATGTCATATTTCCCAAAGCATCAGGAAATTCACCATATAAATGGTTGGCGCTAAGCTGGAGGTACTTGAGGCTTTTCACACCCCAAAACCAACTCGATGCGACCAGGTGGTGGAATGAGTTACCGGAGAGATCAAGCTTCTCAAGCTTTGTTAAATTAAGGTGTAGGAGCGATTGCTCCGCACTAGCAAGTGAGCAACGAGGAAGAACGAGGACTCTCAAAGAGGGGATCATGTTTACCAGGCGAACCCAATCAACGATAGTGGAGAGATTCACCGAGGGGATACTGAGGTACCGTAGTCAAGATAACTTTCTTAACCACGACATATCTTTCGAGTACATTTGGCAACAACCAAAATTGGTGCCAAGTATGTCAAGATATTGCGAACTCGACAGGTTTCCAAGCTGCGGGGGTAATTCACCTTGAAAAGATATTCCAGACAGATTGATATACCTCAAGCTCTTCAAAGAGCCGAGGAATTCCGGGAAATGGTGAGTCGGCCCCTCCAACTGGTTCATGCTAAGGTCCACGTGCTCCAAACGGCCCAAGGAAAGCAAAGAACGACTTATCTCGCCAGACAAGCCGAACTTGTGAATGTTGCCGCTGATGTACGCGTCGTTGCGTAGATGAAGCTTGCGGACATGGCCGGTGGTGCTGCTGCACTCGACGCCTCTCCACCGGCAGCAGTCCTGGCCTTTCCACGAGTCAAAGACGTTGTTAGGGTCTTCGGTGATCCCTTGCTTGAAGGAGAGCAAGGCTGCCCTTTCATGGGGGATGCAGCCTCCTCCATGGGGGTGCTGGGGTTCTAGTGCGGTGGTGGCAAGGACGATGGGTGTGACTACGAGCAGGAACAGCTTGGCGCCGGTGTATGGCATGGTGGAGTCACCTATTTGCTGGAGCTATGGGAGCATGAGGTTGCAAATTTGTGACTTGTGAGCAGCCATTGATGGACCCATGTATTTTTATGGACCCATGTTGGTCAAAGTCACCGTCAATGGTCAAGGCCGCGGGTTAACTGCACTTGGACCTTTTTGGTACTGTGAAAGATGCAGATTGTCACAACATATCCACTCATTTCTCGGATATTTCCATAGCCATAGCCCAGAGGCCAGTCAATAGGTTCTCCCAAGTCCAGGAGTCAAACTTCAGGAAGATATTGAAAACCCACTTACAGGCCCTGCTCAAATACCAGAATGAGTACTGGCGAAAGAGATGTACTATCAGGTACTTTCGCTTTGCTGACGAAAATACTAAACTCTTTCAGTCATTGGCCACTGAGAGGTATAGGCACAATGCCATTGCCGTGCTTAGAGTTGGCGACGTCGAAATTCATGATCATGTTGGCAAGGAGGGGGTCCTGTTCAATACATATAAGGATCGTTTGGGTTCTTCTAAACCCACCAGCATGAAGTTTGATCTCTCTAGGATCATCCGCAAGATTGATGGGCTGGACCAACTGAGTGCGCCCTTCTCTACTGATGAAATAGATGCTGTTGTTAAGGAAATGCCAAATGACAGAGCCCCCGGCCCGGATGGTTTTAATGGTTGCTTTCTTAAAAAATGCTGGCAAATCATCAAATCAGATTTCTATGATCTCTGTCACGCTTTCCACGCGGGGACTCGACATCACTAGCATTAGCGAGGGACATATCACCCTGATTCCAAAAATATCCGCTCCGGAAACGGCTAATGATTTCAGACCAATTACATTACTGAACTGTTGTCTGAAGGTCATTACAAAGATCTTGGCGAACCGGCTGCAGAAAGTCATTCTAAAGATCATACACAGAAATCAATATGGATTTATCAAAGGTAGGACCATCCAGGATTGTCTTGCATGGTCATACAAATATATTCATCAATGCCACTCCTCTGGGAGAGAGATTACATTGCTTAAGCTTGATTTTGCCAAGGCCTTTGATACGATTGAACATGCCCCCATGTTGGAAATTATGAAACACATGGGTTTTGACGATAGGTGGCTGGGCTGGATGGAAACGATCTTTGGCTCGGGAGTCTCGTCAGTCCTCTTAAATGGTGTCCCTGGTCGGAAATTCAAATGCAAGTGTGGCGTGCGACAGGGTGACCCTCTCTCACCACTGATCTTTGTCCTTGCGGCTGATCTGCTACAAGCTGCGATCAATGACGCGTACACTCAGGGTTTGCTCGAGCTCCCCATTCCTCGTGAGACTGCGGGTGATTTCCCGGTGGTGCAATACGCTGACGACACGATCCTGGTTATGCAAGCATGTCCTACACAGTCCGCCCGCATGAAACTTATCTTGGAGGATTATGCGGCCTCGATGGGACTCAAGATCAACTTCCATAAGTCGACCCTCATACCCATTAATGTCGATCACCGGCGTGCTAGTGGGTTGGCAGGGGTGTTTGGCTGCTCTGTTGGCACCCTGCCGTTCACTTACCTTGGTCTCCCCATGGGGACGACTAGGCCGAGTGTTCTCGATCTCATGCCATTGGTGCACTCGGTTGAGAGGAAGACATCCACTGCCCTGTCGCTGATGTCGTCGGGGGCCAAACTGACGCTGGTCAATTCGGTGATCACCTCCATGCTGATCTATGCAATGTGCACGATCAAGCTGCACCCTAAAGTGGTTGAGCACCTTGACAAACTGCGACGCTACTGCCTCTGGGCAAAAAATTCCGATGATGGGATCAAATCCAACTCCCTTGCTGCCTGGGAGCTTGTCTGTCGACCCAAACGGTGTGGTGGCCTTGGTGTTATTGATATCAAAATACAAAATGCCGCGCTCCTCCTAAAGTACTTGTTCAAGTTCTACAATCGTGAGGATGTGCCCTGGGTTCAGCTAGTCTGGGAGGCGTACTACCCGAACAAGGTGTCGCACGCCACTGAGCCGGTGGGGTCCTTCTGGTGGAAAGACGTAATGCAGCTTAGTGGAACATTCCGTGGGATCGCCAAGGTCATCCCCGGGGATGGATGCAACTTTCTGTTTTGGAAAGATGTCTGGTTTAGTGACACTGGCTCCGCACTGATGGACACGCATCCGCGAGCCTTCTCTTATGCTCTAAACGAGGACGACTCTGTTGCCATGGTTCTCAGGGCCACCGATCCAACCATGATCTTCAGTCTGCCTCTTTCGGTCCAGGCTAGGGGGGAGATCAGGGAGATACAACAAGGGTCCTCGCATGTCAGTCTGGAAATCGGCTCGCCCGACGTTTGGGTCTGTGACCTAGGACGTTATTCGTCAAAGAAGTATTACAACCACTGTTTCAGGCAGGTTGAAGCTGATGAGGCCTTTGGATGGCTATGGAAATCCAAATGCCCGATCAAGTTCAAGATGTTTGGGTGGTTGCTTATGGTCGATCGTTTGAACACGAGGAACATGCTGAAGCGGCGGCACTTTGCTGTAGCCGGGGGCAACTACACCTGCATGCTCTGCCACAACCCGCCCGAGGAAACCGTAGAACATCTCTTCTTCACGTGCCCCTTTGCCAAACAATGCTGGAGTAAGGTTGGTCTGACCTGGCCAGGAGGAACCAATAGGCTAGCCATCTTACATGGTGGGAAAGAGAGCTGGCGTCGGCCTCTTTTCATGGATATCTTCCTGCTTGCTGCTTGAAGCCTGTGGATGGAAAGGAACAATCAACATTTTAGGGGGATCCCTCACTCGTTCGTGGCGTGGTTAGCTAGGTTCAAACATCTGTTGGGTTTGGTGATCCATAACTGTCCAGAGAAGGTTCATCCTTTTCTCTCTGATTTCATTGTAAGTTTGGACCGCTAGTTTTGTTTCTGCAACCCTTACGGCCGGGGGGGCCTAAAACCCTTTGTAAAGCACCTGTAACTGTTATGTGGTGAGTAATACAAAAGTCAGTGGGAGCCTCTCCCACTGTCACTGATTCTTCAAAAAAAATAGGTTCTCCCAATAAGATCGTAGCACTAGTATCTTAATAGGTTTTCCTTAACTAGTCGTGTCTATTGAGTGAGTAGCAGCTAAGATAAGAGTTCGGTAGTTGGCAACCTGCAGTTGGCACTTCCACTTTGTCACACGGACCAGAATGAATAACCAAGAACTTGGGTACTGGACCATGGTGGACATCCAGACAAATGCAAGAAAAGAGAGGCTTCACTCATAGTAGCTTCCTCACTCACCAGGCAGAATATCACCACATATATAGGCGCAGTCGACCGACATGTGGTCGGATATATGCTCCAGCACGACTGCGGTTATAAGGCTGGCAATGCCATTGCCAGTGATAAAGCAGGCACCAACGGTACAAGTGACCTGAGATCATAACCAAGCAAGCACAATCGAGCAGCCATGAATCTACCTATGATCATAACTTCATAAGGGTCTCGAGACCTTCGCTTCCGCGTGGAACATATATGTACATATCTATCTTCGTAATCGTACCGGTATACATACGCATATTTATCGCAGTGTTTCCCATGGACAAATCTGTACTCATCAGCGGTAGAGAGTAGTAAGTAGGAGGATATACCATTGCCGTAGCTACAACAGGGCGACGTTTTTCCTTTTTTACAGAAGAACTGGACGATGTACCGATCGAGCTGAGCCTGCCTACTCCTCCCTGGGGATCCACCGGCTCCACCAGATGCTCTTGCGCTGGCTCGTAAGCTCGTCCATGCTCTCGCTGATCGTCCTCACGATCTTCCTCTGCACCCGCAGCATCGACGCCAGCACGTTCCGCTGCGCGCTGTCCTTCTTCGGCTTGATCTCCTGCACAAGAAAAGAACAGTGGCGCAAGCGGTCAGTGTTCTCCTACCAAAACATCATATGTACGTGCCCACTACTGTACACCAGGCCAGCATTCTGCAAACCAACTGAAATGATTGACAGCAAAACTTATCAAACAACTCAAGTTTTTTATCAACTTTCTTTTTTGACTCCAGGTCCAGTAGTATGATCCTGCCATGCCGGCGTGCATACATACCCTGAGCTCTTGGAGCTGTGCTTCCGTGAACCCTCCCCCCTCCTCCGTTCCCGATTTCGCCATGAGGCCGATGATCCATCGCGCCGCCTCGCTGTAGTCCTTCTGGGTCGCGCGGAACAGCTGCAGCCTCAGGTTCTGCATGACTGAGAGGCCGAGGAGCCCTTCGCTGTTGAAGTAGGGATGCGCCAGCGCGGCCTTGGCGCTGGTCCTTTGCCGCGCTTTGTACCGGACCATCGAGGTCAGGAGCTCCCATCCGATACCACCATCTAAGTCCAGGATGTCGAAGCCCCTGCGAAGGTCTGGGGTGGCTCGTGGTTCCACCAAGTTCCTCCAGGCTTCCAGGTCGTAGTTGCATCTCTTCAGTTGGCGGTTGAATTGTATCAGGCTGCTGTCGGTTCTCAACGCTGGAAATGCCTGCAAAAGAATGGTTTGTTTGAAAAACTTATAAGAATTTTAATTATGACTATTGAAATAAGATGCAGAGTTGCCCTTCTTCTGGATGAACACTTGGATCATTCTTGTAGAGATGCAGAAACTGTGGAGATGCAGCTAACGGTACAACATGTTTCACATGTATGCTAAGACACTCGCAAGTAAGATAACAATGCCTGCTTCTCAAGTTATGAATACCTAGCAAGCACATAAATACAGTTACTGTGATGACATACCATCTGCAGGTATACGAGGCCCAAGCTGTATATGTCAAATCTGTCAGGAAGGTTCAGCTGTCAAGAAAATTTGCTGCATCAGCTCAAGCAATTATCTCGATGGGAACTGAAACTGAGGGGGAGAAAAAACAGTTCTGTCACGAATTAGAACTTTTAAAGGGTACCTGCCACAGGACTGGAGATAAAGCAGTTGCAACTGGAGCAGAGGGAGCAGATGGTGTTTGCGTGCTCATGATATATTGCTCCGGAGCAGCATACCTGCAAATCATGGGTCAAGATTCAAGAAAATCCCTAGTAAACAGTTCTACGGGAATCCTTTTTTCAGCAATACAGTTTCTAGTAATGAAGGTAGCTTAATTACCTTGGATCCAAAAGAAACTCCTTAGGAATATAGTTGATGCCCACTCGTAAATCAGCTGCTGCTCCAAGATCAATAATTTTGAAGGTACGAGATTCTTCCAGTGGAGAAAAGGTGAAAAGGTCAGTAGAGAAGATTTTAGTATGAAATTGCAAGCAAATATGTTGGTCATTACCTTCTGAAAATATCACATTTTGGGGTTTTATGTCCCTGTGAACAATCCCTGTCGAATGAAGTCCATCAAGAGCAAACAAGAGTTGTCCCATCACCGTTTGGACAATCTTATTCTCTCTAGCTATTCCCTTTGGCAAATCTTGAACATTTCCGAGAATCTTAGTCTCAACCTGATCAGCCACAAACATATATTAACTGTCAAAAAATGCACCAAGGCACACAGTGTTCGTTTGTTACGGAACTGTCGAGTTAACAATTCATTACATGGACATCTTTCCCCTTACAAATACTATATGAGAAGAAGAAATGGTTGCACACAATGAGAAGATCGCGTTCACGAAAGGAACCTATCCGACTGTTCTCACTAACAGCAGTTGTCCGTTCCGACATTATATCTAGCAAAGTATTTCATCATAAACTAGAGGCCTAGAGCTAATCACCCCTATAAGCTCAGAAGCTCCACTAAAGGTCAGTAAGATAGCACAGTTCCAGAGAAATATAACTGCCCATTTTACCACCTAGATGAAGGGTGACCAAAACTGGTTAGCTAAGTGCAAGGTTCTAGTGCAGCCCAGCAAGTTAGCCCAACTGATAAATATAACTGTTTTCTTACTCTGCAGTTTATGCCAACAACTGAATAGGATGCTACAGCTAAGAGTTGGTTAACTAAACCCAATGAGAGCAAGCAACTTGACTGATTAAATAAACATATGCTTCAAGTCTAATGCACTTACATTGTAAGGGAACTCCTTGCTTTGCATGAGAGCAGAAAGCGTGTCCTCGCCTTCATAGCGCCAAATAAGCCAGTATTCCTCACCCTTACCTTTGGTTTTGCTCTAGGAAATAATACACATTGTGAGTTTAGGAACCAACCAGATGCTAGCAGATGAAAAACAAGCTTTAGCACAGAATCGAGAGTATATATACCTCACGAAAGCCATAAAGAAAATCCGCGCAGCTGCTAGCGCATGCCCTCCTGACACGCTCGTTCATCCAAATCTCCACCGCGCCATACTCTGTCGCCTTCTTCACGACCACATCACCTTGCTTGAAGATAGCCAAAACAAGTGGTGCGCATTAGTATCATAGTATGCCCGGTTGGTTTACAGTCCACTTATAACTGACATATACACTGTATAAGTTTTTGTACTCTTTACTGCTCTGCGGAAGCTTGTTTTGCAAATTTTTGACAGAGCTCTAGACATTTTAGCTATCCATCTGAAACCTTTGAGCTCTGCCTCAGCAGCAACTACGCAACGGATTACCAAATCGGGGAATCAGTACTGAATGAGCTTGTCGACATGTGCACACAGACACATTTCCACTTCATTCATGAGCAGCTTCAGCTCGCCCAAATTCTACCAAAATTGAAGCGAAACATGCACATGAAGTCAACCCAAACACTGGTGTTCACCTTCTCCGCGGCTTTGGGGTCGGCCAGGGACGCCTTGTACACGATCCCGAACGCGCCCTCCCCGAGCTTCTTCCCGGGCACGAAGTCGTCCTGCCCAACCCAACCACACAACCAACACCATCAGCACGAGCTCGAAGGGGCACAGGGGCCGAATCTCGTGGGGATTAATTATGTATCTGATTCAGGCGGGCGGGCAGCACCTTGCGGAAGGTGGGGCGGAAGAGGCGCTCGGCGAAGGCGAGGACGAACATGTCGAAGAAGCCCGGGGCGACGCCGGGGGTGGCCCAGAGGTAGGAGGCGGCGGCGAGCGCGAGCGCGACCCCGGGGGCGGTGATGGTGAGGCCGTCGTTGTGGGGCAGCGTGCTGCGGTAGATGACGTCGCCGCAGGCCATGACGGTGCAGGGCAGGCCCACCCCCACCGCCTCCACCAGCTGCCGCCCCACCTCGGCCCCGAGCTCCGCCGACGCCACCACCGGCCGGAACGACGACGCCGCGGCGGGGGCCGCCCGGCGGCGCCGGCGGAGGCGGGTGTCGTGGCCGGGGAGGAAGGAGGTGGAGAGGCCGAGGCTACTGGTGGCCATTGCTGTTTTTTTTCTTGTATTTTTTCTTTTTCCGTGGTTCGAAAATGCGGGCACGCTACTTATTCGTGCGCCATTTTATTTTTTGAATTATCGTCACGATAAAAAATCGAACGTGTGGGAGCGGATGTGTAGGCCACGTGGCTCAGGGCCCACCTGTCATTCGCCGACGACGCGCTCATCCCAGTGCCTGGAGGGCGGGCTCCCACCGCGCGCGAATTCGTTTCTTGAGGAAATATGAGCTAAATTTCTCAAGCACGAAGCCACATGCCATCGGCCCCACATGTCTGTGACTGTATAATTGGGCTGGTGACTTCAACATGCATTTTTTTCCTGTTTATATTATGCGTAAATTAATCATAAGTGTAGTGAGCAGTTGCCCTGTCCAGAAATCTGGGGTTAACCGAGGCTGATATTTCATTATATGGTGAAATGCAGAGAGAAATGGAGGTGATAGATAATTGTGGCCGTGGAGAGACGGAGAAGGGGAGAGGCATCGGCATCGGCTGAGCCAGTGAGACAGTGAGTGGCTAGGATTAGCCGTCGCGTGTTGATAAACTTGGCACAAGCCAGGCCGGTGCGATTGACACGGCGGACTCGAGTTCGCGCCCGTGACAAAAATATCTGGGATGTAAATTTTACACGCCACTGCTGCTTGCTGCTGTACGAAGGAATTTTTAGAATGGTTAAGACGCAGTGCGTGTGACCGTTATTGAATTGCCTTTTTATTTTTGAAAAAGGAGGCTGAAGCCCCCTGCCTATCCGATTGCTTTTGTGTCTGAGATTGCTGATATTTAGCTGGTGATTTTGCAAAAATATGATGAAGTATATACTGGTACGACGACTCAAAACTTAGACGCGACCATCGCTCTATGATTGCTACAACTCTGCTCAAGAGGTATGGCCTAAACGTGACCTTAGACCAAACACAATATCATCATAATTCACCTAGACGGTGAGATCCAGTTGTCCTGAGGTATGCCCTTCTATCATGATGGTCACTAGGCAGGGGGTTTGAAGTGATCATGATCTCTCATCTCTCTGATATAAAGTTTAATTTCATGGTAAGAAAATGGTCAAGCTACTAACTCGATTAGCAGGGAACGAGAGAAGAACCAAATGAAGACTAGAAGTGCTTGAAAGAGAAGCACTGCTCGTGGGATGACTGAGATAAACAGGTCTAATCTATTTCTAGTGATTTGAGGCCATGACAGAAACAGAGGTACTGAGTTGTAACAAGGTAACTGGTACTGGACTATGTCGTCTGCAGTTATTAGACTTCACTATTTGAACTCGTTGGACTAAAGAACCTAGTGACAAGGTCGCCACTATGTATTGGCAGCAATACCTTTCCTCGCTTGCTTAGCCTATAAAACTTGGTAAATATGCTTGGTGCATATTTACCAAAGGGTAATGTTTCCACCCGGTGCGCCGGCGGAAACATTGGGCCGGTCCTGCCGCTTTGCGTTCGATCGCACAGATCCAGCGTACGAGCGTGGCCCCGCGCGCCTAGCGCGCCCTTCCATATGCGCTCCATCCCCTACCTCCAGCCATACGCGCGCGCATCTCTCCTCCCCCTCCCCTCGGGCTACGACTCCGCCACCACGAGCTCCATCGCCGGCGGCCAGGCGCTCCCCTCGCCAGCCGCCATGGGCTGCCTGCTGCCATAGCCAGAGCCATCCCCTACCTACAGCCTTCACGTGCGCGCATCCCCTCGCCCCTCCTCCCGGGCTGCGACTGGACCACCACAAGCTCCATCGCCGACGGCCAGGGCGCTCCCTCGCCGACCGCCATGGCTGCCTGCCGCCATGTCCGAATCCACCCGCGTATACAAGTGTTGCAACCGTCATCTAGAAAAGCTTCAACAACTATTGAGAAAAGCTTCAACCATAGACATAGAAAGCTTCAATGGCACTGCACAACAAAGGAAAGCTGCAAACGTATTTAGAGTTTGCTACTACCGGTGAAGCTTTTTGCTACATCCACCAGGCGGAGCTGCGACCTCGCGACGACGGCAAATGTCGTTTTCGCTGCAAGCCTGCAACCGCAGCGGGATTTTTGCTACATCCATGTAAGGCGGAGCTATAACCGGTGTCAAATTTTGCTACAACCTTTCTGCAACGCCGTTTTGGAGTTTTTGCTACATCCATGTAAGGCGGAGCTACAACCGGTGTCAAAATTTGCTACAACCTTTGTCGATTTTTGCTACAACCAGCGTTTTTGCATTTTTGCTACTTTTTGCACAAGCCAGCGTCTGAATTTTTTGCTACAACCCTTGCTCGATTTTGCTGGAACGTGCGCTCGTTTTTGCTGCAACAGGCGACCGAGATGTTACGACAGTGAGATGTGACCGACGAGGTGCGGCAGCAGGTGTGAGCGGCGACGAGCACGACGGTGAGCTATGGCCCTCGCCATTGAAGCTGCAATCACCGCCACCGGAGCTACAAACCACGGGGTGCCGATGTTACATGCGTGGAGCTGGCCACCGGCGGCGGCGATCATCGGCGGCGAGGGGCGACGACC